TGATATTGAATTTTGTTTAGTAATAATTTACCATCCAACGAATTTGCATGAATTGCATGTTCAGTAGTTAGTTGATTTATTATTGTATATTGTGAGCTGATTTGCAACGAGTGAACTATGCCCATCCTAAATTAAACCGTCTCAGTAGGTTACCGTAATTAATAATTTATTTTCGGAATTTGTGCGAGAATTTTTGAATTTTAGTAAATACTAGAGTCAGTACATCGCGTATTGAAATAATAGCTTCATCCCTAGTTCGTTTAGTATTGAATATTTTTACGCGTTTAACTTATGCTTCTCCCCAATTCTCGTCGCGTATTTTATTCAAATTTTCTTTTGATTCTTTCAATTTTTCACTCTCGTTCTACGAAAGTTTACTTCAATAATAATATTGAAAATAATATAAATTCGCGTGGATGTAGGCCGACCCTACATTTTACCGACACTTGTCGAATCGACCCTACATTTTACTGATACTTGTGAAATCGACCCTACATTTTTTTTTTTTTTTTACGTGGAGGTTGGTCGACTGTACGTGATAAACAACTGGCAACCAAACGGTGGCTCGCTAAAGCGATATATTATGAAATTAAATTAAACACTCAATAAGTATTAACATTAGATTGTTTCCTCGATATGGCCATGGTGGTCATCAGTGACTGGAGTGCCTCAAATGTTTAGAATAATTAAAATAAAATAAATGTTGTCAACTAAAAATTTTGAACGTCATAGCTAGCTAGACATTATTTTCAATTGAAAAAAAAAAAATTATAAAGCATAATACTATAACCCTATCCTTAAAATGTATTTTCTTGTGGCCGCCTGACAGCAACCTGTAAATCTGACGTATTTTTCTATTATGAATTGTCGAGCTGTGAAATCTCCTAAAGGAAACCGACTGGTGTAACGTTACACGCTTGACTGACTGCGAGCGAGATAACATGGGCGCAGCAATGACACAGACCTAGGCGTAGGACCATCTATACTGTCACTTGTAGAATCCAAACTTACTGACTCTTGTAGAGAATTTACTGTATTCGGTTAAACTTCGATGCTTGTCCAAATAGAAAGATTACGATGGAACAGAAATATTGATAAAACACTAAACATTTTGATAGTTTCTTTTCATTTCTTTATTTTGGTTTCTTTGTGATTCTTTTGTTTGTTTCAATTTAATATTTTCATTCCTTTTCTTTGTTAAATGCATAGAATTCTGAACATAATTCCATTGTAACAATTTTCATAATAAAAAGGAGAGTATTACACTCGGGTACAAAAATTATTGTGTTCTGTACGATATTACATATACATTACCGGCCAAAAGTTTGCAATCACCCGCCAATTTACATTAATATTAAATCTGCTACTAATTCTTCGCAGATTTAAAATTGACGTTGTAGAGATCAATAGCAATTTCGATTGATTTGAATGATAAAAAACTGCTAACTTTTTTCTCAAAATTTTTATATAACTTGCAACGCACAGTGATATAGTGTATACGTTTGCTATAGGTAAAATGAATTCTCATCCTGACGCCATCGTTGATATGATGATGGCTGGAGCAAACATAGTCCGCTTGAACATGTCTCATGAAACGGAAAAATGGCATGCAATCACTGTTCGGTCTATTAGAGAAGCTGGGAATAGGATGTATGAATTCACGAGCGAGGTTTACCCCTTAGGTGTTGCAATGAATCTTCGAGGTCCTGAAATAAGGACGGGTGGTTTTCACGGTGACGAGCTGTGCCTAGTATGACTATCATTTAATATCTCATAAATCAGTATTAATTTTAGCGATACAAAATGAGTACGGTATAGATTAAACCCATCGTGATATCCATCATTGTTCCTATAAAGAAGATAGTAATTAAATGAAATAGAAAAATTATCATGAAATAAATAATTAACCACGAGATTAGGGTGTTTACATTTGTTATTCTGTTATTCATGCATAGATTTGTGAATTTAAATTATTTCGAATTAAGGTAAACATGTTTGTACTGCTCTTTTTGTATCGTATTTAAATTATTCTAACACTTACAGCGTTTACCATCCGTATTAAGTATGAAATTTACATTCTTTCCCATTAAAAAAATGATTATTTTATTTTTTCCAAACTTACATTTTTCACCATTTCAACTCCTCAATTAACGAACTTTTAAGATCGATTGTCTTGAAATCCTTATATAAAACGATATATATTTTCAACTTCTTTTTGTGCAAGAAATTATCAACGTTTCTTCCTTTTTTAAATATTTTTTAAATTTAGCGTTATCGGTCTTATTTTTGTACGTATCGAGTGCGTATATTTTCAGGGGTACGCTAAATTAAGAACAGGTAATTTGGTCAGGCTGGTAACAAATGATATTGCAAAACGTGCAGGATCCGCTGGGTGTTTCTGGATTTCTTATAGCGAATTACCTCGAATATGTCGATCCGGCGACAGAATACTCATCGATCGAGGCACTGTTTTATTACAAGTCACCTGTATACGTTAGTTAATTGAATTTTATATTTTTTGGGACGTATTTGTCCCATTAATAAAATAGAATTATACGAGTAATATCAAAATTTTAAATCTCTTTACCATTGAATACGCTATAAGTTAATTTTCACATCATTTTTCAACGTTAAACTAGGATATCTTAAAAAGGGTGTAAGAATTAAATTAAACCTGAATCATGGCTCAGAATTAAACGAAGAACGTCTCAAATTCTGTGACTACAAAAAATGAGTAAAATTTCGAATTATTTTAATACAGGTGAGAAATCTTTGATTTGTAAAGTCGTCAAAGGTGGTACTGTAAGGGACGATGCATTGGTACAGTTATTAGACAGTATAATTTCGTTGCCACAAATTTCGGAAAAGGATACTCAACACGTCAAATTGGCTTCCGCTTTGGAATGCGATTTTGTCATAGTGAATCATGCGCGCAATAAGGAAATGATTTTCAGCGTTAAAAGTCGCTTAAAAGAAATGGGTATGCGTAGACTGTATAAGGTTTTTGCACTATTCCCAACAT